TCACGCCCCCTTTCTATATCGAAACTTTTTTTAGCCTATAACCATCCTTGGAAAGTCTGCAGTAGATTCCGAAATTTCAAAAAAATCGGTACGGGCTTTCTCGACCTTTGCGAACAGAAAAAAACGGATTTCAAAATATATATTAGTATAGACTAGACAATATCTGCTTGTTTTGCTTAAGCACTACTACCAATGAAAATCGATGGATAAAGAAACAAGTTTGCAAGGGTTAAGTGAAAGTGCAATAATTTTTTGTATGAAATACTAGCAGGAAATAATGTTACTCATACGCCATATCTTACATGACCATTTGACCATGTTAGAGTTTGAATTTGTTTCATTCGCAATGAAAACTTAAAATAACAAGTAAGAAAGTCTAAATTCGGGCGGAGCCGAACATTAAATACCCGGCGCAAGTATTAAATATATGTTATCCACCTCTCCGAAAGCTACCGCTAAATGATAAGCCGGGGTGTATAAATTTTAAGTAAATTAGCATCCTTAAATTTCGAAATATTGAAATTTCAAGCATTTCTGAAATTTACCGTTATATGAAAAGCGGCCGTAATTTTAGTCCGATTTCAACAATTTTCAAGAGTTTGCCTTTGTGTGGCAAGCACAATAACCATACCGAGTTTGGTACAAACTGCTAGAACGGTTACCGAGATACATATATGTTATCATAAGTGGGCGGCGCAACGCCCATTTTCTAAAATTTTATCACAAACATATTTCTTTGTCAAGAATTGTTGCAACCATCAAGTTAAATTAGCTTTAATATTTACTGATTTATCGAGGATTTCGCATTTTTCTAAATTACCGTTATATGGGATGTGGCCGTGGTTATTGTCCGATTTTTAAAATTTTGGGTATGCTGTACCAGGACCAACAACTGTGCCAAGTTTGGAAGAAATTGGTCCACCGGTTACCAAGATATACACATGTAACCATAAGTGGGCGTGGCTACACCCATTTGCCAAAATGTTTTAATATTGTTATTTTTCGTCTAAAAGTCATTGAAAATGTCAATTTTGAGTGAATTATCTTTAGTAGTTACTAAAACATCGGACTTTTCGTATTTCTGAAAATTACCGTTATATGGGAGGAAAAAAAACAGACACAACAACAACGGCAACGTAAGCGAAGAATATTCAATGAACATAAATAGTTGAAGGAGGATGAGGACTTGGATGGACACATAAAAGCATGCTTCAAACTCACGAAGCAGAAATCCATAGCTGCGATGTTAGTACATCAACTACATGACGCGAAAAAATTAATAATTGCACTTCAGAAGCGCTTGCGACGGTAGATGGCGGGAAATTGAAATGGAGCGCATTAATTGCAATTTGTTGCAAATTTTAATTGCGCGCTCACCCTGGTCAGGTTTCATTAAGCCAGCATCGCCCCAGACATGCTGCTTCAGCGGAAACCGCTATCTATAGAAAGTAAATTAATGCAACATGCATTTAGGCGTGCTATTACAAATACGATCATATTTGTGTGTTTATGGCTGGTCATTTGCCACCACAGCTAACTGGCATAAGCAAGATTAGCTGGCACAGTTTTGTTCAGAGACACGAATGATGTTTACTCACCTCCAAGTTAAATCCGTTTTGTCCCATTTGGGTCCCTGCAACACATACCGCTTCATGCGATGGTACCCATACTGCAGATTATCGGGCGAGAAATTGGCAGTACGATTACTGTCGCCCACTCCACAGCGAGGTAGTTGTATCAGTTTTCGTGTGGCCTCGTCTATTTCGCCGGTGGCCGGAATGTTGCCAAAGCGCTGCAATAATAAAGAAATATATAAATACAAGCGGAGAACAATAGTTATTTGCGCGCCAGATGGGCACATTATCTACCTGTAGGTTCCGTATGGCATCCTTCAGTTGCTCTTCGGTCCGCAAAGCTCCTGTTTCGATGTCCGACTTAGGCAGATAATCAAACTCCATCAAGTAATTGTACTGCAGCAGATATGCAAATGGAAGAGATGAGAGGATGCAAATGCATTAGCTCTTTGTTTAGCGTGCCAAGTTTTTGGTATATTATTTCTATGCCAAATATAAGCCTAAAATTATGCTAAGCAAAATGCCAGATATGTTTTAGTACAGTGTATCCCTGAATCTCTTTGAATGTTTAAAAAATTCCTCTGGACGATGTGGAATAAATTGCTTACTGCTAGTTAGTTGGCTTGTTTAACGAAATATGTATTTGTGTTGTTAAAATATTTTCCCAAATCGAAAGATTATATTAAAAATGACAATGACTTTTTTTAAGAATGTAAGCAGCTGAGGCAGACTTTTCAACAATCTGTACCAAATACGGCCTCCATAGGCCTCGTCATGAAAATCTTTGAAATCGTCCAAAACGTCGCCAATGCTGATATTGCTAACTTCGAGTTCTAGAAAATTACCGTTACATGGAGGTTGACGTGGTTATTACCCGGATCCAACCCTCGTATTATTTATTTTATTTTTTGGTCAAGGGCCCTATTAAATATATATTTTAAGTAAATTTTAAAGTAAACCTTAGCCACACTGCAAAATATCTTAAAATACCAAGTCAAGGCCGTATTTAAATAAAAAATTCCCAACTTATTTTAGTAGCACTATGTTACCGGTTTTAAGGGTTTGTAATACTTCGTTTTATGTCAAGGGCCACCCTATAAAAACATTCTAAGCATTTGAACCTTTAGGGAAAAAAATTATAGAATTGCCACCAGTTTGAAAAATTCGTAAATTGAAAAAAATAAAGTCTATATTACATTATGGGTGGGTCGAAAATATTTTTGAGGCTTGTCACCTGTTTGAAAATTTTTATTTTGTTTAATTGATACGATAAATTAAATATTACGATGAAAAAGCTTACTATCGAAAATATTTTTCAGGAGGGTTGCCACCTGTTTGTTTGAAAAGAGTTATTCAACTAAATTGATGAGATAATTAAATATTAAACGGGTATAAAATTAAAGAGGTTTAAGAAATTTTACAGATGAAAATATTTTTGAGTCGGCCACCTTTTTCCATAATGTATTTCAATTAAATTGATAAGATTAACTAAGCATTACAATATAAGTATGAAACGAAATTTTTTTGTAAATAAATATTTTTAATAGGGCTTCCACCTATCTAAACAGTAAAAACTAAAAATATTGAAATTAAATGAAATATTACTAGATTAGTACCAAAGGAAAACGGTTTGAGGAAGCTTAACTGGGCAAGTATTTTGAAAAGTTTTTACCTACCCAAACGCCGAACTTAACGTTCGAAAGAATTTGCAATGTTTAAACTGCGTTGCCAGTGAATTTATACATCAAAATTAATACTGAGGGTTTTTGCTAATAGAGTTGAAATAAAAATTATGAAATGTTTATGCAACGAAAACCATTACTAAAAAATCTACTCCTACAAATATGAAAGTAATAAAACACCTTAGAAAAGTATTAAAATATCAGATGGAAGTTGTTTAAAAAATCCTTGATGAAAACTTAAGATTTTTGTCACCTTTTTTTCGAAGAATATAGTTATAACTAACATAAATACATAATTTCATTCGGGCTTGCCACATATTGCGCATATTGCGAGGACAAAAATTTGAACATGAGCGTTGAGTTTTTCTGATTTTAAAATATCTAATATGCTAACTACTTCATAGCTACAAAATCTTCAACGTTTTATTATTGCATTTAATGGGAGGTGAAAAACACATTAGGTATCAGGAAATGTACCCTTTTCTTGGTAGAAGCAGCGGTATTTTATTTAATAAGCTTTAATTTAAAGGATTTCATAGAAAAAAAACGGAACACATAACATAGTTTCCTAACTTACTTTTGTCCAGAATTTCGAGCAGGGAAACCAGTAACATATTTGCCCTAAGACCCAATAAGCCCGGTCCTAGGGCGGCCAGATATTACGGACGGGCATATGGCAAAAAAAAATACACCGCTCCTAACAAGATACGTAAATACGAGTAAACTCTATATAGTGACACTAAACTCCTAAAATCTATATGGTCGTTAAAACACCCAGGTCTACAGAACTTTATAATAAATTTTATTTTATTACTAATCTGAGGAAACTAAGCACGTCAGAAGTCGAAGAAAGGGACGAATGTCTCCACTTTCGTAAGCAAAGCATGCCAAAATCACCAGATTTCATAAAGAAAATTACTTTGTATATTTTATTTTACTAATCGTATAGATCTTGAGAAGAGAAATACGATTCCATTGTTTAAAAACGAAAAATAATAATATCACTTGAACAACAACAACATTGTGGTGCTATTCAAGATCTTTAACCTGAGCCTCGGTAGAAATCCCTCTGTGAGCCAAAGTAACCCGATTTTAAAGCCAAACTTCACACACTGTACGACAGAAACTCGGATTTATTTATTTTTTCTAATTTATTCAATTATTAATTTTAATTATTTTAAATGTAATAAAAGTAGTTGACTTTTAAATAAAATTAAACTACAAAAATTTTAATTATCTAATAAGTGCAATGGGGTATAGTCGATGGGCTGGGTATGCAGTTACAGTTACACGACTATACTCAATCCCGACACTTGCGTCCTTGTTAGCGCACTCTGGGCAATGTGAGCAACCCATGTGCGAGATGCGGTAACTAATCCGAGTGGAGCCTTGGTTCACGGCCGAACGAGAGGGAGCTTCGGTGGGCCACTCCCACTTATTGGACTTAAGGGCTCACTGAAGTCTGCAGCGTCTATTCACCAGTAGATGCGGCTGGTTTGTGCGCTGGGTGTGGGACCCGCCTCATAAAAACCACTTCCAGCGAAGAACGAAAACAAAGCCTCGGATGAGACCCTCTTATGATGACGACCACGGCAAACGTTTAAAGGACTATGACTTGAGGGTATGCAGCTGGAATTCCCGGACCCTTAATGGGCAAGGTGCTTCTGCCCGGTTGGTTTAAAAGGCAAGAAATGCCTGGGGCCTTGCGACGTCTACTGCAGCTGCCATGTAAAGGAGCGCAAACTCGGTGTTGGATTTGTGGTGGGAGAGAGACTCCGTCGCCGACTACTGTCGTTTACCCCGGTGGACGAGCATCTAGCCACAATCCGCATCTAAGCGAGATTCTTCAACATCTCGCTCATCTGCGCCCATGCCCCGACGGAAGAGAAGGATGAGGTATCCAAGGATCTCTTCTATGAGCGCTTGGAGCGCACGTACGAGCGCTGTCCCCGTCATCATATCAAAATCGTGCTTGGCGACTTCAATGCCAGGGTGGGCAAAGAAGGGAGCTTTGGAATCGCCGTCGGAAAATTCAGCCAAAAATACCAAACGTGTTCACATTGCACACAACGAATTTTTCCATTTATGCCCACTTAGGCGGCACTGTGCTACGCCTCTAAGACGCATCTTTGGGTTTTACGTAACTTTCAATTAGAATGGGCTCCTAGGGTTAAACCAATAACATACCTGACACTTTAGATTTAGTAGTCATCTACTTTTTAGCTTAATTTCCTAGAATCTTATGTAAAATCCGAATAGAAACGACCTGCCCTAATATGTGCATATACATATATATATATATGTATGTACATATGTATACATATTATACGCGAACGGATTTCTTGGGTATTAATGTAAATTAAAGGTTTTTTTTCAAAAGTACATGTAGGAGGGTTCCCGCCTTTTTAAAAGCCAAATACATACATATTTAATGAAGTATTAAAACCTAATAGAAAAGTACTCTCTTCCGAGATGCAACTAAAAATTGAATGACGCCAAAATTGCAAACAACACCGACTGATGTGAGCGAAATCGCTTTGCATTCTGATGTAAGTTCATGCATTCATACATACGTACATACATACATTGCAAATGCACACATATAAAGACATACATAAACTCTTTCAGAGGCTAAGATAAGCTTTAATTTCTTATACATATGTACATAAGTAGATCGAAGAGGGCCCACAATGGAGAAGAAGAAAAATATACATATATACATATAAACATATAAACATGAAACCAGCGAATATAATTCTGGTAATGTAAACGTCTTGCAAGCAAAATAAATGCAAAAATAATGCAAAGATTGGCAAAGCTTTATGGCCGATAAGCGCATAGTTTAAAACGTAGAATGATGAGGAAAGAAATCTACAAAAGTGCAACAAATTAAAGTAGAAGGTAGTGTAAAGACATGCCAGGCCAGATCTACATTAGTATGCATTTATATACAAGCTATTTATCACTTATGACTGTAGTAAAAAACAAAGGGAATTTGGTATTTTTGAAAAAAAATTTTATGTGATTTTAATAAGCTTGTTTCCCAGAAATTTTCTCCAAACTCTATTTGGGACGAATGATATCGCATTTTTTACTTTAGGAAATTAATTGTAAAGCAAAAGCATTGACAGCTGGTAACAATGATGCGTATTAACGGCGCGGTTGATCAGATTAAAATTATACCCTAGCAAACGACAGTAATACGGGTGCTGCGAGTCCCACGGTCAGTATAATTTTCATAAAATTTTTTTAAATTAATTAAATTATTATTCAATTTTTTTAAGGTAAAAGTTGTGTTTGTGGGCTTTTTAAACACATTTAACTCCGAAAATTTTGATTTCTTATAATAAAACTAGCGAAAACCAGCCCGTTCCGCTGGTCGTCTTTAAAAAAATCTAGATTAATTAATTAAATTAAGCCGAAAAATACTGTGTGTTTTTTATAAAAATTCTCGCGCATGAATAGTAATGAAAGAAGTTTTGAATAGTAGTAGCAATTAAAAAACGTTTGATGTGATTTACTTTATTACTTTTTTTATTGTAATGCTCTTTGGTATACAATATTCTTCGTTTTTCCATGCGTTGTTGAATAAATGAACAATACCGATGGCTTACCAACTCTTGAGCATGAAACATAAAGTTGGCCATGAGAAAAACATGGGTATTCTAAATCAATACCACAAATTGAT